TCCTCACCCGCGCTGACGTCATGCGTCCACCCCTTGCCGCCCAATAAAGCCCTCGCCGCCACCCTATTCCGATTGTCCATTCCGCATCCTTCTCCGCCGTCGCTCACCGCTTCTCTCTCGATTCCGCCACGGTGTGCAGAGCTTTCTATTCCGTGTGCAAAGCCATTGTCGAAAATCTCGGCCATTTGTTCGAATTCAGCTCGGATATCAATCGGGTTATCGTCGGTTTCGGTTGGATTTCTCTGCCCAACTGCTGTGGGGTTTTGGGGATCGAGAAGTTCGAATTGGAAGGCGAAAAAATCGGGTCTTTGTCGGTTCAAGCGTTGGTTGACTCCGAAGGTAGGTTCTTGGATGTTTCTGCCGGTTGGCCGGGTTGTAACAAACCCGAAGACGTGTTGAAAATGTCGAAGCTTTTCGTCGGAGTCGAGGATTCGAAGGAGTACTTGAGCGGGCCGGCTTACGACTTAGATCCCGATAATTCGATTCCGCAGTATATTTTGGGGGATTCGTGTTACCCGCTTCTGCCGTGGCTGTTGACGCCGTTTAACGAGGAGAAAAACGGGGAGTTGGGTTGTTCGGAAAGAGTGTTTAACGACATGCATTGTAGAGGGATGGAATTGGTAGGGACGGCTTTCTTGCAGGTCAAGAAAAGATGGAAGCTGTTGACGAAGAAATGGAAGGAGCAGTGTGTCGAGGCTTTCCCTTTCGTGATCGTTGCTTGTTGTTTGCTGCACAATTTTCTCATAAAGTGCAGTGAGGTATTGCCCGACGAAAAAAACGGGGACGACGGCCGTATCGAGAGAGCGTTTGCCGTGTACGATGGAGAGGATAATGAAAGTGGGAAGCGAATTCGGGATGCACTTGCTTCGCACTTGAGTCGGGTAAGTCAGAGAACGTAAACTTGTTTGTAGCACTTTTGTAGGTACATGTAATGTAGTCGAACCGTACAAGTTAGTATTTTTATTTAAATGAAATCGATCGAAGTTGCCAATCGAAATGCATTTCTTGTTTTTGGATTTTGAATTGATATACTCGTTCATGTATTATTCGTTTTTCGTTTTTCTGATTGGTTGATCTAGCTGGTATATAGCTCTCTTAGTTCCGTTGTGTTATAATTGGGGTTTTAAATACGACGACCTTTTGATTTTTATGTCGTTAATAAAATCGGAAGGTATTACTTATTGGTGTGGTTCGTCTACGGATAGGGCAACAAGACATCGAATCTTGAATAAAGAAACTTGTATTGACAATGTTTTCTCATGGTACAAAGAAACTTATGTGCCTTTTGTGAAGACCGCGATCGAGAAAAGCTCGGTCGTAAAAAAAAACGAGAAACACGGTGAGGTCATTTTCTCTACATTGTCTTATAAACAGTGACTGCTGCATATTCCCATAATAATTTAATTAGAACTTCTTGGGAGGAGAACAGTTCTTTGTGCAATCCAACCAGCACGCAATCAAACCCGCGAAACCACCCTCGCGTGGCTGTGAAATATCCATTTCTCGTCTCTCGAGCACTCTTAGGAATTCTTCCGAACTTAGGCTCCCGTCTTTGTTTGCATCGAACATATAGAACACCAAATCCACCACTTTATCCGTAAGCGAGATCCCACAAACCTAGGATAATCAGAAAGATTCGACGTATTAATTATTGCCAAAAGATTAATTAAAAGAAAGTGCTAATAGATATATATATATACATATATATATATATATATGTGTGTGTGTGTGTGTGTGTGTGTGTGTGTGTGTGTACTTGATCAGCTGCTCTTTTGAAGTCTTGCTTCGATAATAGGCCGTTGACTTTGCCGTAACTAAAGAGTGCCATTGAGAACGGCTCTAATCTTTTCCTAAGCTCAGCAAAGTTCTTGAATTCTTCGAACGTGACACGTTCGTTTCTCAGCAACGGCTCGTTATTTAGCTCCTCCACTTGATCGAGAAACTTGTTTATGTATCTCATATCTGCAGATGCAACCATTGACAAGACGAAATCTTTCGCGGTAATTGTTCCTTGCGACTTGTAGTCATAGTGCGCAAATTCCAGCCTCAGCATCTGTCGATTTTCACAAATTTTGAGATTTTTTTTAATTAAATTTTTATTTAAGAAGGGAAAGAATAGCGATACCTCATCATGTAAGTCTCTCAAGAACTGGACAAATTTGTCGTGCCCGAGTTTGTCGTTTCCGTCTTTTCCGAAGAAGTACTCAACGAGGCCTCCGTTTTCGACTGACCCTTTGACTTTCAACCCGCTTCTCTTACCGTCTCTGTGGGAGGCGCCTTGTCTGTTTTGAGTACGCATAAGTGACATCACTTTCTTGAATTCTTCTCTGTCTATGCCGCTGTGTACAAAATTAACAAGTTAGTTATATGTTTCTTTGTCTCTGTGTTCACAAAAGTATGTAAGAACGCATACCCATCATTGTCAATATCAAACATTTTAAATGCAACTGAAAAACTTGATTCTGGGATGCTCAATATTGTCACAAAGAAGATGTACCTAATACAATCAAGAAAATATCAAAATTGAACATATTTAAAAAAAAATTAAAGAAATAAATCAGGAGACTAACTCTGGAAATGAAATAAGCCCGTCGTTGTCAAAATCGAAGAGCATAAAAAAATCGGAAGGAGGGAAATGAAGTTCGTTCGTAACGAGTTCGCCTTTGAGGTTTCCTCCTCTAACAATATCTGCTTCAGATGGAGGAAATACAGGCACTACTGCTCTCATTAGGTCTGCCGGTGTCATGTACACATCGCCAGATGGCGATTTGTATGATGCAAAATACTCGAACACCTTCAATAAAAAAACAAAAATCGAAAAAAATATAATTAGGTAGTATTGTAAGCATAACCGCATTTGAAATACGAAGGTTTTGTCGATATAAGATTACCTTTTCGGGAGGGCTTCGTGTTCTTATGCGTTTCTCATACTTGAAGAAAACTTTTCTCCGGTATGTATCTGAAAATCGTAACAATCGGATCAATAATAATAATAACGCTATATTGGAAATAATCGGAAAGTGAGTATGTTATATATATATATATATATATATATATATATATATATATATATATATATATATATATAAAAGGCGAATGAATTACCTTTGAACAAGAAGATAGGTTTCTTCTCGGGCTCTCTTCTTCCGGAATCAGCATAAGACACGAAAGACGAAGAAGAATAACAAAGGGCTGAGGTTGAGCCAAAAATCACGGCCCCGTAAGAAATTGATCTCAAAAGTGATTCAAGAAAAGACGAATCTCGTTTCTTGGTCTCGTGATTCTCATAGTATTTTCTTTCACCCTTTCTTGAAGATTCCGTAAATGAGGTGTTCGATCTTGTGAAAACTGAGCGAGGATTCAGGATGCTATTGGCTGCGAAAACTCGAACATTCGATGCGGGTTTTCTCAACGAATGCATAGTATATGTATGTGTAAATTATATTCCTTGGAGTTTCAAATGAAAAGGAAAGGTTAAATTTGGAAGGAAGAAGCTTTGAAAGAGAGTTTTTGGTGAAGTATAAATGTGTGTGTGTGTTTGTGATGGTGAGAAATGAGAGGAACAAGTGTGTGTACGGAATTCAATGGAGAGGAAATCAAGGTGGGATCAACACTTGGACTTAGACTCATTTTGTAACGGTATGTGTGATTATGTATTTGATCAATGACAATAGTTTTATTTTTCTATTTTTGGTTTACCAAAACCAAGAAAAAAAAAAAAAAACTGTTTCAATGCCTCTAATTTTTCTTTTGTGGACTTGTTATACTTCTACTATGAAGCTTCAAGTTTAGGGGGGGAGGTTCGCGATTATGGCTGGGTATGGGTCGGTTTTGTAGGCCAATCGATTTACTTTCGATAATTGTTTTGGTCGATAATTTTTTTGTCAGGCCGGTAATTTTAATCGATTCATATATATACGGGTCAGTCGGTGGTTTTCAGTTTACTCAAAAGTGGGTTGACCGTGTAATATCAGTCAAATGACTTTTTTAATAACAAAATTTTATTTGTAATTTTTATTTTCTTAATGTTAAAGGAAGTCAAACCCAAAAACTAAAAACACAAATTTATAAACTCCTACGTACTAAAAACTAAATACACAAATTTATAAACCTCTACGTATTATTTCTATTTTATGATTTTTATTTCATATTCTTCATTATATATTTACTTATTATAGAAGTTTAAAAAAAAAAACTCTTAATTTTAAAGTTAATTTTTTTGCAATATAAGTTTTCTCAAAATTTGAATATCTTCTAAGAAAACTTATAAACACATTATGTACCCTACCTTTAAAAGCATGACTGTTTTAGTTTCTTAACAGTTTTGTGATTCCAATATTACCATTTATTTATTTATAAATTACACTATATCCTACTTGTGGTTAATTAGGTTAGTATGTTATCATTTATCAACAAATAATGGATCAAATAAATATTTTATGCCCCCCCCCCCCCCCCCCCCTAAATTCTAATTCTAACCGGCCTCTCCTACTATCATTAATTCACTAATTAACAGTGCAAAAATGTGGTTGCTATTCAATTAATGAGTAGAGTCAGTATACATATGCTCTCATCTATTTTTATTCCAATTATTTTAATTTTCATTGTTTAATGAAAGGTCGGCCGTCTATTCCGTTGTACGTGTCATTTACGATTGGAACACTATAATTCTTTGACAAACGAGATTCGCCTTTATTAAACGTTAGCTCGATCCACATTTTTTTCCCTGCAATTTTTTTTTTGTTTGGTTTATATTTCCAGTACTTTGTTGCTTCATAGTACGTAGTCTTTTCTTGTACAAAATATGCACTAGTTAAGTCCATGAATTTATTTCTCCCTCCATCAATGGATATGAAATCCTTAGTTTTCACGTCACTTCAAAGTTTGGCACTCAGACAACATAGATCTCCATATAAGTTGGATAAAAAATTAACATTTTTATTCATTCACTATATTTTGAACAAGAAAATACTAGACTCAAGTCGGTCAAGTACTAATGTTGGTTGTTTCTAAATTAGACATTCTTTTATCAACAAGGTAATTGGCATGTTTTAGTCGTATAAATTATTTCATTTTAAGTAACAAAATATTTGCATTCCCTACAATTTTTGACAGGCCAAAAAAATGTAGAAGTAACTACGGGAAACCTCTTCAATTTATATATTTTTTAAGCGAGGTAAGTATTAATGCCGTATGAGTTTCATTTTTTCCCCGAAACTATTTACCTTATAAAAGTTAGTATTGGGTTTTTTTTCTTTTAGGAAATAAGAAACGGGTTTAGTTTGTAATGAATGTTATCTAGCTTCATGAATGATCATTTTTCATTTCTTCAGAAAAAAAATGGATCATCTCATTCTTACATAATTTTGAATTGATGCCCCCTAACTATTCTAATTCCCTACTCTAATGCATGTTTTCATACAATAACATGCGTGTTTTGTGTTCGATACCCCCCCCCCCCCCCACCCCCCCCAAACCGCTCACTAGCTAGCCGAACTAGTGGAGCCCTATCTCGAGATATACTGAAAACTATGCCTTTTGAACCGACGGCAAGGTCTGTCTCCCAAATCAAAATAAAAAAAGAGTTCGGTGGGAAGAAAGATGGAGTACGGCTTGTATAGCACATGTAAGGCTGATAGGTACCGATTAAGGAAATAGAGATAAACACTCAAACAATAATAAAAAAATAAAACAAAGGTAGATTTAATGCAAGAATCTTAAACATAAAATCCACCAAGTAGGCTGTCCGTATGGAGAGGACAATGCTCCAAAATTTCACACAGAATACTAATTCAAATCCCCCCTAAAAACTAACAAGGAAAAACTATTTATATAAAACTAACATTAACTTCCTAATAATTAAATAGAAATTCCTAATAACTAAATAGAAACTGCTCCTCTGGAGCAGTTATGGATATGGCTTATCCTTATCCATGTTATTCAAATCTCCTGGAATTGTATCAGTACACCCCCCTGAAAATTCGCCTTGTCCTCAAGGCGGAAAGGAAATTTCGGCCAATCTTGCCATAGAAGAATTTTCAGTACATAAATTGATGGCTTCTTTATCTCTACGACTGGAGTTTCACCATCCATAACTTCCATGAGTGAAAGGTTTGATATTTTGCAACGGTGTCCCGGTCCAAATTTTTCGTTGCATCGAAAACAAAGGCCTTTCGCCATTCGTAATTGTCGCTCCTCCATTGCAAGTGCTTGTCCAGTTTGCGTTGTTGTCGGAAGTTTAACTGAATCTGGATGAAGTATGGATCTGGGAATAGATGAATGGGGTTGTGGGTTTGGTTTATTTGGTGTAGACAAATGGTGTCCGCTACGAAGACAACTTGAATCTGAATTAGATTTAAGTTTGGATTCAAATTTTAGTGCCAAACTCATAGCTTTATACACCGTTCGGGGCTTATGAATTCTTACATCTGCTCGTAATTCTTCCTTCAACCCATTGAGGAAAACGCCCAAGAGGCAGTGGTCTGGCCAATTAGAAACTCGTGCAGATCGTCTAGCGAATTCTTGTCGATACTCTTGAACAGATTTAGTTTGTTGGATGCCACAAAGAAATTCATCTGGATTTTGGAATTCTGCAGGGCCTTAGTTTTCTTGGAAAGCCTTCACGAGTTCATCCCAATACAAGATAGTGCGCTCTTTATTGATCCACCCGAACAAATCCAACGCATCTCCTTCTAAGTACATTGAAGCGATATCTACCTTCAAGTCTTCGGGAGTTTGGTTGTAACGGAAATACTTTTCCGCCTTAAGAATCCATCCTCGAGGATCTCCGCCTTCAAACCTAGGAAAATCCATTTTCGTGTAAGGTCGTCGGGGATAGTAATGTGGCTTACTGTGGCTGTTCATTCCATTATCTTCATCATCATCATCATCTGCCCAAATTGGTTTTTCACGTTGTCGGTTGCCAAGGCTCGTTTCTGCCCCTTTTCCTTTGTCGGTTTGCCGTGTTTGGTTGGCTTGGGCTTTGAGGACAGCCACATCGGCAACCAGAGCATCAATTGTTTCGAGTTTGGAAGCGATGGACGCGAACTGTTGACTAATATGGTCGGTGGGTGGGATTGTGGATTCGTTTTGGGAAGCAGTGGATCTGGTATTAACCATGATGGATCGAAACCTGGCTCTGATACCAAACTGATAGGTACCGAGTAAGGAAATAGAGATAAACACTCAAACAATAATAAAAAAAAATAAAACAAAGGTAGATTTAATGCAAGAATCTTAAACATAAAATCCACCAAGTAGGCTGTCCGTATGGAGAGAACAATGCTCTAGAATTTCACACAGAATACTAATTCAAATCCCCCCTAAAAACTAACAAGGAAAAACTATTTATATAAAACTAACATTAATTTCCTCATAATTAAATAGAAACTCCTAATAACTAAATAGAAACTGCTCCTCTGGAGCAGTTATGGATATGGCTTATCCTTATCCATGATATTCAAATCTCCTGGAATTGTATCAAAGGCACAGTCGAATTGCTCACGCAGCGGATCTCTCTCTATTTATAGATAGAGAGAAAAATTGTCAAATTTTTACATTATTGTAATTCAATTGTACCTTTCCTTTCGTCTTTCTTCTATAAGAAAAAACTCATCATTTTTTGTTCTTCTTCTACTACCAAAAACTCTCAAATTTGAAGGGCATTACAGTTATTGAATACTTGTTACGATCCTTTATTGGTATGATTTACTCCCTTCTTTATGGTGAACAAGGAAGATGAAACAACTCCAAGTCTCCGTTCTTCTTAACTATTTTTAATTTTTATTTTTTGTTTCATTGGCTTCTTTAATTTTGTGATGCTTATGAATACAATAAACTTCACATCATGAAATCTTTTGTATGAGTTGTATCACTTATTTAAGGATGTGTAAACAAAGCAGAAAATGTGGAGTTTTATTTCTGCATATAATTAAATTTCTGCTACAAAATTTGCATTCATTCTTCGCAGAAAGACACTGGCAGATGATCGTCATAGAACCATTAATATTAAAATAATCACCCCACGAGTTCAACTCGTAGACATCCATACCATTTCATTAGTCATACAAAGAAAACACACAATCTTTTATACACGCTTTATGAGTGTCATACGTTCTGCAACCTTCTAATGTATCCTGGTTTTTTGTGATATATAATAATTAACCTTCACAATGGCTTTGAGCTAAAGTTGCGATTTTCATTAGGAGCTGTCGTTTTGTGTGATAATTATGCTATTTTTACGTTTGATGGTTTGTTCTTTAGTCTTCTGTTAAATTACCATTTATTTTAGCGGGGTTTGCTATTTGGATTCCACCAAATTCCTCACCATACTCCACCAAGTACTTTATTTTCAATTATACCCTTCAATTACACATTCTACCATAAAAAAAAAAAAAAAAAAGAAAGAAAAGAACACATGAAATTAGATAAAAGAGAAGAGGAAAAAAATTAAAGGAAAGAGGAAAAGACACTCCATATTTTTTCCCGTCGGTCATCCCAGCTTTCTGCCGTCATTCGCCACAGCTTATCGTTGTCGTTCGCTGCCGCCGTCGAAAATCCAATACTTAGTTATCCTCGTTTGCAGCCAAAATCGGTTTCCAGACATAATTTACATCATTTATGACGAAGA